CCCGACCAGCAGCGTCTTATTTTCGCCGGCAAGCAGCTTGAGGATGGCCGCACCCTGTCTGATTACAACATCCAGAAGGAATCTACCCTTCACTTGGTTCTCCGTCTCCGCGGTGGCATGCAGATCTGTAAGTAACCGATTTCCTCGACCCTACACCACCCAGTACCGTACTGACAATTCCCAGTTGTCAAGACTCTCACTGGCAAGACCATCACCCTCGAGGTGGAGTCTAGCGACACTATCGACAACGTCAAGTCCAAGATCCAAGACAAGGAGGGCATTCCCCCCGACCAGCAGCGTCTCATCTTCGCTGGCAAGCAGCTTGAGGACGGTCGTACCCTTTCCGACTACAACATTCAGAAGGAATCTACCCTTCACTTGGTCCTTCGCCTTCGCGGAGGTATGCAGATTTTCGTGAAGACCCTGACCGGCAAGACGATTACCTTGGAGGTGGAGTCGTCAGACACAATCGACAACGTCAAGTCCAAGATCCAGGACAAGGAGGGCATTCCCCCCGACCAGCAGCGTCTCATCTTCGCTGGCAAGCAGCTTGAGGACGGTCGTACCCTCTCCGATTACAATATCCAGAAGGAGTCGACCCTCCACTTGGTGCTTCGCCTCCGTGGAGGCCAGTAAGCGGCGGCTCTTTCCTCACCGGCGTTCATGGGTTATGGGTTACGGCATTGGCATGATGATATCTTAGTTAGGGCCTGGTAAATCAGGCACCACGCGCTCAATAGCGCCAATACAGACCATTGAAGTCTACATTCGTCCCCTCTCGTGATGTCTGTATCTATTGTCGTCATCCTTGCCCTTGTTATCGTCCGTCATCGTCGTCCGTCTTCGTCCTGCGTCGTCGTTCTGCTTCGTCGCGCAGCTTCGTCCCCTCTCGTGATGTCCATATCTGTTGTCGTCTTCGCCCTTGTTGCCCGTCATCATCCGTCATCGTCGTCCTGCTTCGTCGTCTGCTATCATTGTCGTCTGTCACTATCGTCATCTATCATCCGCGTCCGTCACCCTCGTCCATCACCATCGTCCATCACTCTTATTCGTCACTATTGTCTAACACTGTCGCCTGTCACTGTAGTCTTTTAACGTCACTGTCGTCCGTTACCGTCATCCGTTACCCGTTATCATCGTCCGTCTCTAGCGTCTATTATCGTGTGCTGTGGTCGCCCGCACCTCCATTTGCTATTTTTGTAGTCTTCATCGCTGCAGCTTTCTTACTTTTAGACCGGTTCTGTATCCATCGGGAAAAAGAAACACAGCGTCTGCAGTGACAGTCCAGCACCGCTTTGGTTCGGCCGCGAAACGCAGGCGCCTTATCAGTGACGTGACCAGTGGACCCGTGCCCGCGGTGGGGTTCCATTGTGGGGGAACACCTTCCACAGAGACCCTGCACCTAAATTATTCCTCCGAAATACACCTCCGTCCACTCGTTGTTATGAGCAGCTCAAGCAAACCTTACGAAGTGCTTCGGGGACACTCGCTTTTATCTCCATAATACACTTCACTTCTATACCATCCCTTGCTAGCCGATTTACACGCCAGCGACTACGAAAGCACCACAAACGAGCGTCAGCCCGCAGGGTTGCGAAAGGCTATGCGGTCCTTCTTTTACCACTTGAAGTTTGAGCTCTACCCGACTCCCAGCCCAACGGACAGCCAATTCAAAGGCAAGACGCATCCTTCCTCGGCTGGCAAAGAATTTTGGCTTCCGCCGAAAGGGATCGACATCTTCGACGAGCTTCCGACACATTCTAGGAAATCCGCAAAGAAATCCTACGTTCACAGACCGCAACCCTCGCCGTTGCAGTCATACGAAACACCCCTTCCCGCCGACACCTACCGAGCGAACACATCAGCGCATAATACCTCCGGCAACGCTGGCCTGATTGACTGCGGCCCCTCGAGAGCACCTGTAAAGGAGGACAGTGGTGGAAACGTCGAACGGTTGACCGAAAGGCAGTGGAGAGCGCGCACTCAGAGCTTTCCACCTCCGCCATCGTCCGCCGCGATACGGCCTGAAACGGCTGTTAGAGACTGGAGATTTGGGCAGCTGAGCATACAGAGCATCGACTTGCACGACGAGCGTCAGCGAGAGCAAATGACGGCGGAAGCGGCTAGCTCGTCGGCGGCGCTCGGCGTGGGCCCGACGTTCGCGGGGACGTCAACGAAGGCGAAGTACGTGCCGCTAGAGACGAAGAACACGGAGGTTGGCTGGGGCGTGGTGCACTTCTATCGCGAGGAGGAGGAGACGCCAGAGTTAGGTCTTGACCCGTCAGAAGACGATGGAGTTAAAGAGGTAGACTGCACAACCCTCTGCATACCGGCAGTGCCGAGCTACCTCACACCAGGTGATTTCCTAGGATACGTGGGTGAAAAATGGCGGAACGACATCAGCCATTACCGGATGGTCATGACCGCCAGGATGAACCGGTATCTGGTCCTGCTCAAGTTCCGCAACAGCGAGCGAGCGCGGAAGTGGCAGAGGGAGTTTGACGGCAAGGTCTTCAACAGCATGGAGGTGAGTAGTCATATCGGCATAGGACGTGGCGGTCGTACTAATATGTTCCAGGCCCAGGTTTGTCACGTAGTGTTCGTCAAATCTATCACTTTTGAGACGCCGACAAGAGAAAATCGCACGTTCCCCGACCTCAACCACGATCCGTTTACACCGTCCTCTTCTGTCGCCGCGTCGAGCAGCCTCAAACCCTTCCCTCCCCCTACACCAAACCTCGTCGAATTACCTACTTGCCCGGTGTGCTTAGAACGTATGGACGATACAACCGGTCTCATGACGATTCCCTGCCAGCACGTCTTCCACTGCAACTGTCTCCAGAACTGGAAGGGCTCAGGATGTCCCGTCTGCAGACACACGAACCCTGAAACCACATACGACCCGTCGAACCCGTATACCCAACCGTTTGGTTCCTCCGTGTCAAATCTCTGTAGTTCATGCGACTCACCAGACGACCTCTGGATCTGCCTCATTTGCGGAAACGTCGGCTGCGGTAGATACAAAGGTGGTCACGCAAAAGATCACTGGAAAGAGACGGCACACAGCTTCGCGCTTGAGCTCGAGACGCAGCATGTCTGGGATTATGCGGGCGATACCTGGGTCCATCGCCTCATCCGCGACAAGGGCGACGGCAAGGTCGTCGAGCTGCCAGGTAGCAATGGACAGCACCACCGACCGGAAGGAGGCTACGAGGATGTAGTGCCGCGAGCAAAGTTGGATAGCATCGGTCTAGAGTACACGCATCTTCTCACCAGTCAACTTGAGTCGCAGCGGGTGTACTTTGAGGAGATGCTCAGCAAGGTCGCGGACAAGGCGTCAAAGGCCGCCGCAACGGCAGAATCCGCCTCCGCACAGGCTTCAGCTGCGCTGGAAGAGAACGAGACTCTCAAGACAGAACTCAATCATCTCAAGACACAAGTCATCCCACAGCTAGAACGGGACGCAGAGCGGGACAGAAACAAAGCCACCAAGTCGCAGGAGCTCGCACGAAACCTCGGCAATGCTCTACAAGAAGAAAAGGAGGTCACTCAGGGGCTGATGAAGCGTGTGGAGCACAACAACACCGAGCTCGAGGCTTTGAAGAAGAAGGACGGCGAGTACAAGGCACAGATTGCGGACTTGGAGGAGATGAACCGCGACTTGACCATGTTCATTTCTGGGCAGGAGAAGCTCAAGGAACTGGAAAATGAGGGCAAGCTTGAGGCTGGTGAGGTCGCTGAAGGCAGCGTTAGCGTTGCGAAGAAGGGCAAGCGGAGAGCCAAGAAGTGAGGCTCCAACGTGCTGCCAAGGCGTTTATGGTGCATCTGCGAGGCGTTTGCGGGGGCAGGTATGATTGAAGCTCACCAGTACTAGTTTAGCGATACCTTGGAATTCACCAGCGATTATTCTATCTACAGACAGTCTCTGGCCATGCTCTGTACTCTGGCTGCAAGGCCACTGCAATCTGCCTGGCTGTTACGGTAGGAGTGGCGTCTCGGTCACGCCATTTGACACGGAGCTGTCAGTGGTAGGAAGACTTGTGCTTGCTCTTGCTCCAGGTATTTGGGCTGCTTCGTTCCGCAGTCTTGTGTTGAGGTCAAGTGGGCCGGATGGGTTCGAATTTACGATGCAGGACCCCCCGCGGCATGAATATCCTTCAATGATTACATGGACGCATCTCTGCTGGAAATGAACCACCGCTCTTTCAATGAGGCGATGATTCTGCTGTCAACCAGCTAAGGATGAAGGCCAGCGACACCGACATCCGAAGCTGGAAGACAAGGGGTGGGAGTATAAGACCCGGGAAGGCACAATATGTTGGGCAAGATTGAGCTTACTTTCCTCAGAAGCGGGCGCTCAAGCGGTCGAGTCTTTGTGGCCATTTACCATGTCGGACATGCGTCCTTTCTAGTTGTCAAGATCTCATCTTCCCAGCTCTCGTTTGTTCCATCTTCCCCATCCCAAACCTCGAGACTTCTCTTTCTCGCCTCCCCGTGCCTACGGCAGAAATCCCTTCATCGGATCAATTGTGAAGCTAAACAGGTGTGACGGAGGTGGTATCAAATGACAGCCTGATGCTGGCTCCAGTTGGCGGAAACGAGTTTATTATACAATAGCAGGTTTCTTAGTACTGCGCGCTCTTCTGCTGGTTCTTTTCGTTTGTGTGGTCTGTGAGTTCGTTTTGTTTGCTACTATTGTCTTGTACAACGCCAGGTCGGAGGACACTTATCTTCCGTCTTTTGGAGGGATCCAGTAGTGGAATTTTCGAGTGCGCGCATTTTCTCAACTGATAGTGTTTAAGCTTTCACGTGGATTTTTCTCTGCGTGGCGCTGCAAACCAAGGTTGGATGCCCAAGGTACGGTTCGTTTGCACCTTGTGCGGTCAGAGTGTATGGGTATTTCTTTGGTTTTCCCTGCCTCGGATTTTGGCAGACATCTCTCACCTCCTGCTGGACACAGGCCGACAATTTCATTCACGTGTGTTGGTAATAGCATCATCATGGTGTCCGCCAAGTTGCACGATGCGCTTGCGAAGTATACCGCAGGTAACAACATGATACTTCGGCCTTTCCCGAACCCTGGTGTCCCCAATTCTCACAAGCGCAACGAAACGACACCCGACGGCCGCTCGTTCGAAGACTTGACCGCTCAGCAGCCTAGCAACTTCGATCCGACCATTCAGTACGAGGATGACCAACTACTAAAACTCAATATTGTTGGAACGATCTCTGGCGGAGCGAAGGAGGACCGGCAAATCCTCCTTTGCAAGGTCGACGAGGCCCCTCGCACAAACCTTGGATATTCGCCTATTCCCGTATTTGGCAACAAGAAGCAATGCATCGTGGCCATAGTCGTTGATGCAGTTTGCTACGGAGACTCTGCCAGGGCCGACTGGCATCTTAGTCGCCGGACTGCTGCCCTCGAACACCTTCACAGGTCTACTGCAACCGGGTTTGGAACCATTAACCCTGAATACTATGGCGCATGGGTCTTGGAGGCGTACGATAGTGCGGCGAACCTTCCCGGATACAAAAGATATATCGGTGTTATACTCAGGGAGCATCTCGAGGGCGAGAGCATTGACGGATTGTGCGAACGTGAAAAAGATGATGACGGAGTCGGCAGGCTGATTGTACGTTCGAACCCAGTCTTACGTGATGCAACCGATGGCGGAGTAATCGTGGTTGACCCCAGTTACCAAGTCCGCCATGAGATCACGATGCAGCTCATGCATGGCGTCGTCACCAATGAGCATAGTGGCGTGCGACAAACAATGTTAGACGCGCCAGACGTCATGGTGGTTTTACGAAGTCGTGGAGAGCGTCTGGAGACGCCGCAAGCTGTGCTGCTCGGTACCCTGGACACGGAAATGCGGTACATGCGTTGGGACGGCGAAAGATACTACCAAGACGCCCATGATCGCCGGCGACGAGGTGACAAGCCTCTCCATCCGTTCGACCGATTTACACACAACGACTTCGAATTTCTCGATGGCTGGTATGATGTCGACTGGTGCTACGAGAACAGATTCAAGATCGATGCGTGGATGTTGAGGCAGTTCGGGCTCATGGATGAACCAAAGGAGCAACGCCGCTATCTCACTTGGGAAGAGTTGAGAGATGTTGATAGAGACGTTACGGGGAGCAGGAACAGCCGCTTGATAGAGGCGTTCGCGTTCATTGCCAAATGAGGAACCCGCGGATTCCCTGATTGCAGTCTCCCAGCTATTCCAAGCCGACCTCCCCCGAAGGCTAGCAGCGTGATCACCCCGATGTTTGGATACTTTAGACATCAGATTATGGCCAAGGATTTACAGGCCCGGCACTATCGTCGATCTGCTTTGTGGCAGGTTCTTGAACAAGTCATAACGGATGTCCCCCCAGAATTGAAGGAGCTGGGGCTTGAACGCAGAGCCGCGCTTGCTCGGGTGGTCGCTACCCATAACCTTTCAGCAGCGAAAATCGATCTCAACCATGGAGGTCTCAAAGAGCGTGTGTTGACGCGGTTCCACGAGATCTTGGCCAGTCGTGGTCAGAGCGAGTCGCGGAAGAGGAAGAGAGATGAGTCAGACGTTTGAGCACCCAAGGATGCAAGCGAGGAGATGTTTGAATCATTAGATTGAGTGTTTGTCTATCAGCGGTGTGATAGCTTTGAAATTATGCTGGAGTCTAGGTGCATCCACGAGGCGTTTTCGGGAGAAGGCATTACTGAAACAGTAGTAGTTCAGTGATACCGTGGAATATATGAGATCGCCGTCTTTTCCCGTGCTAGAGCTATTGAGTTTTCTGTGGCTATAACTCTACATTGCCTTCGTTGTTGGAACCGTTATTGTCGTTATTGTCCCCGTCTCCGTGCTTATGATTCTCGTTACTACTATCGCCTTCGATAGGAGACATTGAGCACACAAGAAATGCAGCTGAGCAGGGACAGGAAGTTTAAGCGGTCTTGATTATATACGAGCGAGTATTTACTCTAAAGTTTTATGCAAAGAAAGGCAGAGCTTAGCCTGGTTTCTTTATTTGCCTGCGGGAATGGCATGTAAGTCAGCTTCAGCCGGACGGCCAGGCTTCTCTCCATTCTAAACTTTTCAGCAATGTGCACCGGTTATATCCTGACAACCTCAACATGCTCCGAGGACAAGGCTAGAATCAACACTAAGAATGAGGCTATCCTGATCGGTGGTGTCCGTGATATTGCTGACGAAATTTCGCTGGAAATAGGTGATCTTGGGCTGCCTGAGAGACTAAAATCAGCAAGAATCTTGCTATCTGGGCGGATAACTACTTATACTAGGCCTAACAGTTTGTTTATTTAAACTACCTTACTATTACTATCGTCCTTATCGTCCATGTCGTCCCTGTCGTCCCTATCTTCTCTATTCTAATATCTGTCTCTATCCCTATCCCTATTGTCGTCGCCGTCGTCTTCTTCTATGCCGACTACCCGCCCGAATAGCTGAAAGTATCCGCCCGGATAGCAAAACTCATCAGCAAATTTAGGCGATAAAGACCTATTGTCCTTGTGTGTTAGGCCCTTCTGTAAGTTTTGACGGCAAGGGACTTTCAAGGTCCCCCTTGACCTTTAGTGGACGATCTTTCGGCCACATCGTCTCTCTTTTCCGGGCTTCAGGCAGCTATACTGTTCGAAAATTTTCAGTCCAATGGTGCTTTTCCTCCCATTCCTTTGTTGGCACCATTCAACAACGGAGGTGCTTCTGTGGAGCACTTGCTGGGCTTGCAGAAAGTTGCAGCTTCACTGCATGGATAACCGGCGCGTCAAAGGCTCCTGTCTGTGACCATTGACATAGAGCTTTGATATCTGAAAAGCAGCATGCAGACGTTGGCTCGGCAATAAGTCTACTTATCCAAGCATCTCCTCCAACTACCTACATTTCTCTTCCTCATCTCCAGACTCCGTGTTTTCTTCTTATTTTCTCGCAAACAGTCGTCAGAGAACTATGATCATTTCAACCTCTCATTACTAACGACATGGCTGCCGAAGCGATCGGCCTCACGGCCAGCTTGATCGCGATCTCGGAGCTATGCGTGAAAAGCATCGCCTTGTACCGGACAGTCAAGGACGCCACCAAGAACAGAGCCCGACTGGCGGCAGAAATTCAGTTCTGCAAAGCCGTCATTGACGAACTCCAGAATGCCTCTGCGGACGATGTATGGAAGGCGACGATGGAGGTCCTGGTGGGGGATGGAGGACCTCTGAAGCTATTGGAGGAGACTCTGCTTTCTCTCCATCAGAAGCTGACCCCGAGAGAGGCTAGTCCGAGCAAGGGGTTTCGTCACGGCCTGAACGTCTTGAAGTGGCCTTTCGAGGAGAAGGAAATCAAGAAAATTCTCGACATGATCGAACGTCAGAAGGCATCGTTGTCGCTGGCTTTGGACAACAACAGCAGGTTCGCTTGTATACATGCAAGGGCATCAACAATTCACGTCCGCTGACCAACGTGTTTCCAGGATTTTGCAAGATAGGATAGCGTCATAAGTTGGAAACAACACCGAAAGTCTCAAAGAACTCAAAGGTCTCTGCGGGACTTCGTGTCAGGAGATCGACGGTAAGCTGATGCGGACCTTCGAACGGTGTGTTCATCGGGCTAACCATCAAACTCCAGTGGTGAAACGCAGCATACAACAGGGAGAAGATCGCGAGGCGTTGCACCGGATCACGAGACTCAACTTTGGTCCACGTGACGAGAGTATTCTCCAGTCGTGGGACAGGGATACTGGAACGGGCACATGGATTCTTCGTCACCCAAAATTCAACAATTGGCTGAAATCTCCATCTAGCACCTTGTGGTGTCATGGACTGCGTATGTGTACCAAACCTATCCGTTTGAACCACTAAGAACCCTTCTTACTAACTGTGTTGTAGCCGGAGCTGGCAAATCAGTGATTGCGTAAGTTGCTCCTGTAAGCCAAATGATCCACGGGGATTAGCTAATGACATATAGCGCAATTGTCTTTGACTACTTGAACAACACCTTTTCTCAATCAAACCCGAACATGAGCGTGGCAGTCTTATATTGCGATCATCAACTTCAGGCAGACCAGACATTGGATGAGCTCGAGCGAAGTATCTTTCATCAAGCCTCGGTCGACTATCTGACATTTCCCGAGGAGCTGCGTCAGCTTCATAGAGACACAAGAAGAGGATTTCCGCCTTCACTTGAGAAGCTGCGCTCAGCTGTTAGATTGACATCTGCGATGTCTCGTACACCCTTTGTAGTCCTGGATGCTCTGGATGAAGCGAACGAGAAGGTACAAGACCTGATCGTTGACAGAATCTCGAATCTGCCCTTCCAGGACGTTCGTCTCTTCTGCACCTCTAGAAGCCTACCAAAGTTCAAGCATATGTTTGCAACGACGGACGAAATCGAGATTGCTGCGTTCGACGACATCTCAATCTTCGTGCGGAAACAAGTGAGTCTCCAGAGTCGGTTGCGCACAATCATTGGCACGGACTCTGGGCTCGAAAAGTCCATAGTCGACAAGGTAACCAAAGAGGTCAATGGAAGGTACGCAGATACATAAGAATCCTAAGACCGCAATCGCTAATGTTTGAACTCCATAGCTTTCTGATGGCGAGCCGTTACATGAGCAGCCTCTCGCAGGCCGGTTCAAAGGGATATCTGCTTCTAACCACAGATTATTTATATTTACCGGTCAACGATGCTTACGATCTTACGATGAAGAGGGTTCGGGAACAGCTGGAGGCTGACAGAAAACGAGCCGAACAGACGCTTTCATTGATTTTTGGGTCGACTCGTTTCAACAACTCCACCCCACGGCTAGCAATGAAAGAAGTTCAACACGCATTAGCGACTCTTAGTTATTCCGACTACGGCTACGATGTGAAGTCGGACGATCTACCGGACATTGATCTCATCGTTCAGTGCTGTCAGGGTCTCCTAGTTTTGGACGGCGACTCGGTTCTTCGTCCATCCCACGACACTATCGATCAGTACCTTCGCCGTGGTCAGGTGTTGGAGACATACCTTCCTAACGCACTAGAAGTGCTCTCCGCTGCTTGTTGTTACTACCTCTCCCAGGATAGTCTGCACCTTGCCATTCTCGCAACCATCTCGACTGCACCTCGTGGCAGGCAAGAGCGCAAAGGTGACTACTGGAAGCGCATAGATGACTACCATGACTACCAGGAGCGCTCCGAAAAAGTGTTTGACGAATTTCCTTTCTTGAAACATGCCTCTGCTCATTTTCACATCTATTTGTGGAAAGCGTATGGAAAACGATGCCCTGCCATCCTAGCTGAAAAGTATGGCGGGATGACCGATTCGTGGAATCAAGTGGTATTCCCGGATTTTTGCGCCACCAATGATCTCGTTAAACGACAACCTGTTTTCCGATTGTTACATCAATTTGAACAGCAGGCTGGGTCTGCGGACTCATTTGACAACATTGCATGGCGCGAGCTTTGCCGAGCAGTGGAAACCGCCGACAAAATATCCATTGACGTTCTTCTTCGATTCGACGACCTGAGAGTGGTTTCGAACGTTCAAGACTTGACTCGAATTCTGACATTGGCAATTGACTCTGGATTTGATGGCGTGGTACGACATCTACTCGAGGGGGACTGGGAAGTGATACCGCAGCTTCCTCGGGAGTCCATGAGAAAGCTCCGAATGAAGGCCTTGCGCCGTGCTAGATCGGTATTTGGGACATCGTGGCCAGACGAGGACCCCCATATAAGGGCGCTTCAGTGGCTCATTGCAACCGAGCATGGCTCGAGTCCTAGATCCGGGCGAAACCTATGTGACCGTGTTCTTGATTGCGCCAGCAATAAGGCATCGTACAAGATCCTTGGTGTTCTCATTCAGGCAGATATGGATATACATGCTGCGGATGCCGATGGCAACCCTGTTTTGTGCAGACTTCTTCTCAAGGCAGCTGAATACGGTTGCGATCCTCTCCTGGATTGTCTCGGTCAGGAAGTGGCCCATGGTTCTGTGTTTAGGTCCGTGGAAGTTTTGCTCGCAGAACTTGCCATCGATAACGAGAACCCCTGCTTTTTCTTGGCGCTGCTACCTAGGATGAGTTCTCTCCCTCGCGAACTCCTGGTATCCCGGTTCCAAACAGAGAGTCAATCGTTCCCCAGAGCAATTATCCATGCATTTACCATTCTTCTCTCGGCCCCTTCAATTGAATGTTTAGGAACTACGACAGACGCAACAGGCCGGACTGCTCTTTCTTGGTTGGCCTCAGCTGAACGTTGCGTTAGAAGATTCGGAGAATGTCAAGGGGAATTTTGCGAGGAGGACACGGATCTCATCGAACAGCTGCTGGGACGAAAGTATGCCACGGATGTGAACCAGACATATGAGTTGGGCAGGAATGCAGTCTCATACGCCACAATGAGCTCTCACCCTTGCCAGAGCGTTGTTTGTAAGCTGATCGAACATCACGCCGATGTCACAAAACGGGATGTGGATGGCATGACACCAATTCTCTACACAGCTGCCAATGCAGAGTACCATTCTATGCTCTGGGATATGATTTGGGCTTACGAAAACGCCAACGGCATGGATGAATCCAACAGCTACACCACCCTTTGCTACTCCGCCGAATTGACTCTATCATCCGACCCCGACGTCCCCGAACCAACACAGAAGGTGATTTCTGCTCGCATCGACTTTTGCAGCATTGTCTTGAGACGCATCACCAAATACTGTTCGATCAAAGATCTCGACCGCATTTTGTTAACTCTCTGGAGGTTTCTCGAAAAGGCTGATTTGGATCTCCAGAGCGCAAACAGGCGGACGCTACGGGCTGCTATGGAGGACGCCGGATTGGCTGATATCCACATCATGTCGAAGGTGTTGTACTATTGCAGACAGTCTGTGGATGAAATAGATCTGAGGCCCCCAGAGCAGTGGCGGGCTGTCAATCAACAGCAGGTCGAGGCGCAAATGGGCATCGATGAGGTTCGTGGCAAGACTATCAAGAGGGTCCTCTCTGAATGCTTGACCAGCAAAATGAAGGAGCTTTGTGGCAAACGGGAGAGGCAAATCGGCGAAGCAGCAAGACCAAGTATACCATGATGTTTGGGATATGGATGGATCGCTCTTGACATTGGATGTCTGAGAGGAGGAACTGAGCAAATGTAGAGGAATGTGACAGAACTTTTATTCTATTTACACGGCATCGCTCGCAAAAGTCGACGCCGGCTCTAATCATGATTATTTCGCGTACCAAGCTCTTTCGTCTTCTTAGTGGAAAAGAGCAACTTCTTGTCCGGAAGTGCAATGCTAACATGGAAACTGCTAAATCATACCAACCACACCCCCTTCAATACCCCATCTCTTCGCAAGAATGAACCGAAAACGTTATTTTGGGGGATTCCAAAACTCCAGGGCCAAAAGAGCAGATGTAAACGCTGGGCTGCTAGCAGACTTAAAAGTCAAACTTGACGCCCTTCTTGCTGGTGATGTCGATCATGCCGCCGCGGTAGCTGCCGCGCTTCTTCTTGTTCTTCTCCTTGGTGAAGCCCTTGCCCTTGGTGACGATGAGGTCCTCGTGGGCGCGGTTGGAGTAGTCGTTGGGAACGTACTCGTTGCTGGCGAAGCGGGGGTCGATGTGGACCACGTCCGGGATACGAGAGAAGGGCTTGTTGGGGACCTTCTTGCCGTTGGCGTTCTTGCCACGGTTGTTCTGCGCGCGGAAGGCGACGGGGTCGGGAGGCAGAGGAGGGTCGGCGGCGCTGTTAACTTCGGGGGAGGTCTTATCCAGAGTCACGGACGAGTTGGAGGCCGAGTCCGCTTCCTTCGTCTTGTCTGCCTTCTGGTTCTTCTTCACCTTCTTGTCGTCTTCGGACTCAGACTCAGACTCGGAAGAGGAGGAGTCGGAGTCAGATTCGGGGAGGGGCACCTTGGCGGCCGTAGAGCCGTCGGAGTCAGAGTCGGAGTCGGAAGAGTCCGAATCGGAAGATTCGTCAGAAGAAGACTCCTCGCTGGAGCTGGAGGAAGAAGAATCGGAGTCAGAAGAGGAGCTGCTGGAAGCTTTTGTCTTTTGCTTCTTGGCCTTGGGGGCCTCGTCTTCGGAGCTGGAGTCGTCGGAGCTGTCAGAGTCGCTATCGCTGCTGCTCTCGCTGCTGCTGCTGTCGCTGTCGGACTCAGGAGCCTTGCGCTTCAGCACCTTCTTGGGCGCAGGCTTCTCGTCCTCGCTCTCGCTGTCCTCGCTGCTCGAGTCGCTGCTGGAGCTAGAGCTGCTGGAGCTGCTTGAGCTGGAGCTGTCGCTCTCGGCGCCGGCGTCAGCCATGTCAACATCCTCCTCGTCGCTGCTATCGGAGCTGGAGCTGGAATCGCTGCTGTCGTCATCCTTGGCCGCGGGTGCCTTGACGGTGGACTGCCAGGACTCGAAGACGGCGACCAGGCTGGGGCTAGCAGCCTGCTTCTTGGAGGGCTTCCATCCGCTCTTGGAGCGCTGCTTCTGGAAAGCCTGGTGGGCGGAGGTGAAGGCGTTGTCGGAGAGGAAGGCGTCGACAAGGTCCATCAATTGGTCGGGGGGCGACTGCTTGGCGGGCGCAGCGGCGGCCTTGCTACCCTTCTTCTCCTTCTTGACCATCTTGTCTTGGGTTTGCGGTGTCGCGGTAACGGGGGTAGTCGCAGAGGCTTTTGAAGAATTATTTGAGAAAAGCCAAGAGGGAGGACCAGAGGCTGACATGTGCGTCGGGTTCGTGGGAGGTTTGGTGGTGTGGCGTAGCCCCAAAATAAAGCAATTGAGTCTGTAGTCGCGAAGCAAGTTCCTCGGTGAGAGATGGAACTGACGGCGGCGGTCTTCACCTGGGAAAATTTCTGTGGATGTCGGCGAGTCGGCGCTCCAAAAATTTTGCGGCTTCCTTATCCCAGTCCCTCATCCCTGCCCCGCGACTTTTTTTTTTCATCCGAAAGATGCTCTTATCTTATCGTGGACCTCGATACATGAATTTATGCACGTAGGACCTCATTGGTCCAGACCGTCCAGTTGCCTGTTGGTTGCTCCCCTCCTTAGCGTGCCACGCGACAGGGGTGCAAGCTCATTGCCCGATCAGCAACAGCCGTTTGTTGACTTTCAATGTGGGCGGCTACCTCTGCGACTAGCGACAAAGCACCGTCCTATTCTTGGGGCCCGTTTCATAGTGCAACACTACGCAGATGACGACTCAGCCTTCATTCGAACACTAGAGAGTCGGAACCGTCGTTCTCGCAAGCTGGATTGTTCTGTGGTCGACTTCATCCATCTCGCCATCATCCGTCCGATTCTGTAACCAAACCTGGAACCGACGTAAACGCCGACAGCCGCTGTCTCATCGAACCACTGACTCAAGATGAACGCTACCAAACGAAAGTTCAATGCCTTGATCCAGGGGATGGGCAGGTCCTCGACGTCGACCAAGTCCAGCGATGACTTTTCCAGTCTACCGGCCGAATCTCCTCGCCCTTCGACGACGTCCCTGCCAGCCTCGACCGCGAGCACATCGAACACGACGAACACGAATACGGATTCAAACGCCAAGATGCCCCTGTCAATAGAGGAGGATATCCTGCTGAAGCGCCGGCGCCTGCAGGCTGTGACGGAGAGGGCCACCATCAAGAACACCACAACCGGCGTTGCCGCGACAAAGGTATCGAATGTCGTCCTGAAAAAATGGACGCTCAACTCCAAGGAGACAGTCGTCCAGGTCTCGTCAAAATACTCCCCGACCGATCGAAACGAGCTCCTCAAGAGGCTAGCAAGCTTCCAAGAGATTACGGACTGGACGCCAAAGCCAGACAGGGTCAACGAGATCGAATGGGCCAAGAGGGGCTGGGTGTGCCAGGGAAAGGATCGCGTGCGCTGTTCGCTCTGCAACAAGGAGCTCGTCGTCAAGCTTAACAAGCGTGAGGTCGATGGCAAGGAAGTGCCCGTACTGGTCGCTTCCGACGTTGGTAGGTCCACGGTATCCCTTGCTGAACTCTGGTATTTAAACTGATTGGTAAAGCAGAGGAAGCCTTGGTGGAGAAGTACTCGGACTTGATTGTCACAGCACATCTTGATCAGTGTCTTTGGAGGAGACGGGGATGCGATGGTAAGTCTTTGCAGATGCCGGGTTGGGCCCTTAATTGACTTTGTAGATTCACTGCTGCGGTTATCTCTCACGAACGCTAAGTTGAGCATGGAGGCGCTGCGACAAAGATACGACGAGCTCTGCGCCAGGAAACCGTTCCTGCCGTACGAGTTCAACTTGAGACTTCCTGAGGGCTTGAGCATCGACAGTGTTCTTGCTCAACTGCCAGAGGATTTCTTCACAAACCCGCCGCCCGCCAAAGATTCGCCGGACCCAAAACGGCCTAACAAGGTCGCTCTCGCCCTTGCTATGACAGGCTGGCAAGGTCTGACAAACCCTCGTATTGGTGCTGTACCAAACTCCGCCTCGTGTCACACGTGCCTGCGAAGACTTGGCCTGTGGATGTTCAAGAGCAAGGAGGTGAATGCCGAAGGTGAGGTCCTCGTCCCCGCACCAATGGACCACCTCGATCCCATCAGAGAGCATCGCTTTTTCTGCCCCTGGAAAAACCCGGTCGCACAGCGCCTCAGCACCGCTAAGCCAGGATCTGAGTCGGACATGGCGGCGTGGAAGTGCTTAGCGCAGGTGCTTAAGAACGACGCCTATCTACGTGGAGCTCTCGACGACCGCCCAAAGAATAAGTCTTGGCACAGCAGAGGCGCGTCAGTACCTTCCACACCTGTTCGCAAGGGTGGCGGCGCGCCCACGACCCCGGGCGGACCATACGACTCCCCCAGTGCGGCTACGGAACCAGCTGGCGAAGATGACGAAAAGTCCCGCGACGCAAAGGACAAGGAGCGGTGGGCTCGCTTGCGGAGAGTCAAGAGTCTGTTCGAGTCGAAGAATGCGAAGAAGATCCGTAGGACGCTTAGTAGGCCGGGAACGGCGCGTTCGACTGCATCGGCAGCGACAGTAGCCACGGCGGCTCCCGCTGCTACGACGGGGCAAGAAAAGGAAACTGAGAAGGCTTGATGGAACGACGATTGTTCGTAACACTGTATTATATAAGTCACTCACTTGACTTTCTTTCTGCTATGGGCGGAGTTCTGGACGGGTTTCGAAGGAAGGATGATCCACGGTGTCTTAATTAGCTAGAATACCCACATGAAGTAGCTCGTACAATATGCTTCACGATTTGCTCCTTGCTACAGCCAGCCGTTTGCCAACCTATAGTTGAAATGATAGATGCCCCATCGTTCGGGTTCAAACAGTGAGTTGCATGTCTTTTAGAGGGTATCTAATCCATCTGGGTTCCCACACACTATCGTACAGACCAGCTCATGAGCTCCAGTCTCCAAACTTCTTCTCCAGCTCTTCGAAAGAGATGGTCTTCCCAGACCACGCCCTAGGATCACTCTCCATCGCTTTCCCCGGCTCCGCTACCCTCTTCTCCTCCTCCGCCGTCTCCTTCTTTTCCACCGTCGCCTTCTCCTTCTTGACCTTCGCCGGCGCAACAGCCTGCCTCAACCCAAGCATCTCCAAAATCTCCATCCTCACCCCCGCCATACCCGCCGCGTTCACCGCAAACGTCTTCCCGTCCTTCACCCTCTCCATCTTCGCCGCAGTAAGATACACCCTCGGCACCCACAACCCGGCCCCCAGCCTCCCAAAGCACCGCTCCACCTCCGCGAACCGCCGCACGATGCCCCCGTCCTTCTTCCTCTCGCGCCCCCGCCCCGCGCCGCTGACCTTGTCCAGCTTGGTAAACACCACCACCACAGGCCGCCCGCTCGCCGCCAGCAGGCCCATGACCGCCTCGTCCTGCGCGCCGACCTTCTTCTCCGCCGAGATGAGCAGCACCGCGCCGCGGAGCATGGTGCGCTTGTTGACGTACTGCGTGATCTGCTCGCCCCACTCGCGGCGGCTGGCATGGCCGTATCCCGGCGTGTCGACGAGGACGAGCCCGTGCTGCCGCGCGGCGTTGGCGGTCTTCTCGTCGGGGGTGACTTTGCGCGAGTGCGTGGGTGGTTTGCCGACGCCGTAGGCGTTCATCATCACCGTCTTGCCGGGCTTCCA